ACATATGTCAGGCTACTTCGACGACAGCATTTCCAAGAGACCGAAGAACAAGAACGGCCAACCGATGAAGAAAGAGACAAGGAAGGGACAGCAGTACTAATGGAGACTCTGCTGTACACATGCAATTGGCAGCAACGTGAACTGCTCGCCACGCGGCAGGTCCTCATCCGCCATGAAACAACACTCAAGGCAATGGACTAGAGGATCGTGACCCTGCAGGCCGAGAACAGCACACTACATGCCGCCAACAGCCAGCAGCAGATACTCAACAGCCAGCAGCAGACACTCAACACCCAGTTGCAGACCGACGTCAGCACGGGGTTGGCACAACTGTCAGCAACTGCGCCAACGGGAAGTGCAGCGGTAGACGGCAGCCCAGCTTTGGCCGCGCAGGCCAAGCAGCTCGCGGAGCGGATCAACCACTTGGTCGCATCCCTCGGCGACATCAGCAAGTTTGCTGGAGCGTTGACAGTCAGCAATCAGCTGCAGACGCTCAGCGACCGCGTTGACCAACGACCGGCCACTGCCGCCAAGGAATGGAAGATGCCGAACTTCAAGATCGAGAAGTTCGACGACTATCACAAGACTGATCCGCTGCAATGGTGGATGACTTTCAACACAGAGGCGGATGTACATCATACACCCGCCCATCGGCGGCTTGACGCACTCTACCTCCAACTCATCGGAGGGGCGCAGGCTTTCATGACACACATGGCCGTCACGATGGAATGCACCATCGCCAACCTCCACACGAAGATCACGTGGGAGGAATGCGAGAAGAAATGGAAGACTCGTTTCATGGTCAACAACGACAAACAGCACGCCATGAACAAGATCTTCCGCATCTACCAAGGCCAGCAGACGTCACGGGAGTGGCTGACGGAGTGGCAAAGACTCGTCACCACCCCGGAGTTGAACTTACCATTCGACGCTATCCGGGCTGAATTCTTTGCCCGGTCATGCGACGCCTTGACTGCTGCCTTGGGTACTGAGTTTCAGTACGAGACCTTTGATGATCTGATCTCAAAGGCACGAGAGCTCATTCAAGGTAACCGGCGTGCGGCCAATGAGACCCGCCAACAGCCCGGTTACGTGGAAAAAGGCAAGGGACAACAAACGCCGCAAGTTGCAGCAGTCCAACAAGGAACAAGTGAGGACCCCGCAACCGCATCTACGTCACTTGTGGCGGCAGCGATACCACCGCAACGCTCAAGACCCCGAGGGGGAAAACAAAGGGCGAAACCAGCATCGGCGGATGGAGCACGACAGGCACCATGGACGAAATTCGACATTACCGAAGAAATGTTCAAGTTGCGACAGAAATGGTCATGCTGTTTGTGGTGCAACAGCACCAAACACATCACCAGTTCCTGCCTCGACAAGGACAAGGAAAATGTCAAGCGTTCGGGCTCGGGAAACTGAGCACCGCGGGAAGTGCAGCGACAACATTTCCCAGTCCGCCGGAGTTGGCTGCCTTGCTAGCAGCCTCTCTCACATTTGGGGACACCGCGGTAGTCGCAAGTTCTCGCATTGAGTACGGGAACTATGCTGTCGAGCTGGTCCCACCGTTGAACCAGCCTCTCCACGTGCAAGATTCAAGCGTATGCGCGGCAGTTCCGTCGTCGGACAACGAACCGGTTGCTTCGCCAGCCCTTCTATCGGAGGATCCGTCAACTTGGGCGAGTCTTGAGGAACTCAACCCGTGGACGGTTGAGGACTTCCAATGGTTGCCTCTTCCCTCCACCGGTTCTTTGCCAACTCCGCATTGCAATTCCTTAATGGCACATCTACGCGAATACTTGCACGCTGCAGTACCACCTCCGTCGACGGACGACGGAGTAGCGGTTGTTGATCTTTGCAACTATCTTGCGAGGATCGACCGTGAGTACGCAACGCAACGGTACGTCGACAACGACGCGCCGCTCCTCTACATCTGCATTCAGATCGGAAAGGCGACCTGCAGTGCCTTGATCGATTGTGGAGCGACTCGCAACTACATCAGCCAAGACTTCATGGCACGCGTCAGGCTTGGCCCGCGCGTTCGAAGGAAAAATCAGCCCACGCATGTCACGTTGGCCGATGGTCACACGCAAAAGTCAATCGACTGATGCGTTGACTCGGTGCCCGTGTACTTTGCCCCGCTAGCATGCGAGGCCGTGTCTTTCGACATATTGGACACCAAGTTCGATATGAACCTAGGCATGTCGTGGCTGCAAAGCGAAGACCACCCGGTGAACTTCCATCGCCGCACCGTTCACGTTCGTGATCGGCAGGGCGAACATGTCCTGTGTACGGTGCCGCTTCCTCATCCTTCCATTGGTTGTCACGTGGTATCCGCGGCGAGCATTCGCCAATCCATCCGGCGGAACGACATCGAGGAGATGGGCATATGTTTTCTTCACGCCCTCCCACACGGTGACCAGCCCAAGACGGATACGTCGGACCCACGCATCATTGAGTTGTTGGACAGCTATGAGGATGTCTTTCAAGCTCTCACCGGAGTCATACCGAATCGGCCCATACGCCACGGGATCACTCTCGAGGACGGCGCCGTACCTCCGCGCGGATGTATCTACTGCATGAGCGAAGAGGAACTTCAAGTGCTTCGGGCATAACTAGATGACCTCTTAGCCAAGGGCTGGATTCGCCCTAGCTGTTCGCCATACGGTGCTCCCGTTCTCTTTGTCCGGAAGAAGAACAAGGACCTTCGTTTGTGCATCGACTATCAGAAACTTAACGCGCAAACGATCAAGAATGCCGGCCCTCTCCCTCGGATCGAAGATCTTCTCGAGCGACTAGGTGGCGCCAAGTACTTCTCAAAGCTTGACCTCAAGTCCGGATATCACCAGATTGAGATCCAGCCAAGAGACCGGTACAAAACCGCGTTCAAGACGCGATATGGGCACTTTGAGTGGATTGTCATGCCTTTTGGTCTCACCAATGCCCCAACTACTTTCCAAGCGGCCATGACGATGGAATTCTGCGACTTGCTCGACCGCACCGTGCTCATTTACCTCGATGATATCTTGGTTTATAGTCGGACGCTGGACGAGCACCTCGAGCGCCTTCGCGCCGTATTGGAGCGGCTTCGTATCGCCAAGTACAAGGCAAACCGCGACAAGTGCGAGTTTGCCCAGCAAGAGCTGGAGTACTTGGGCCATTACGTTACGCCGCAAGGCATTCGTCCGCTCGCGRACAAGKTACAAGYTATTCAAGATTGGYCGGACCTCAAGTGTACTACCGACGTCCGCTCCTTTCTCGGCTTGGCATCGTACTACATGCGCTTCGTCAAAGGATTTCAACGCATCGCTGCACCATCGTCGCGACTACAGTCCCCCTTGGTGCCCTTCGAGTTCAGCGACGAGGCCCGGCATGTGTTTCACACGCTGAAGACGACTTTGCTCCAAGCTCCCGTCTTAAGCATCTATGACCCGAGCTTGCCCACCAAAGTGACTACGGACGCTTCCGGTTATGGCATTGGCGCGGTTTTGGAACAGCATGAGGGCACAGACTGGCATCCAGTTGAGTACTTCAGCCAAAAGGTGACGCCCATCAACACTCTTGATGATGCGAGGAAGAAGGAACTCCTAGCTTTTGTCACTGTACTTAAGCGTTGGCGTCACTTTCTCCTCGGGCGTTGGCGATTCACGTGGGCAACGGACAACAATCGGTTGACATATTACAAGACGCAAGACACGGTGAGCAGCACGATCGGTCGATGGATGTACTTCATTGACCAGTTCGACTTCACCTCCAAGCACATTCCGGGTTCCTCAAACAAGGCAGCGGATGCTCTCTCGTGAAGACCTGATCTTTGCGCCTTGGTGCACTCCACATTCGGCCTCGACGAGAACCTGCAACAGCACTTCGTAAACGGCTATAAGTCGGATCCGGGATTCTCCACACTCTATGCGGACTTATCATCGGATCAACCGCCGACAAGCAACTATCGCATTGTCGACGGCTACTTGCTTCTTCATACATGAGGCAAGGACTTGTTGTGTGTTCCCCTAGACCGCATCTTGCGCACTCGCCTCCTTGACGAATACCATGATTCGCGGCTGGCGGGACACCTTGGCGTCGCACGCACACTAGCACGACTCCGCCAGCGATTTCACTGGCCGGACATCATCAGCGACGTCAACCGGTACATTCAATCATGCACAGTTTGCCACCGGGACAAAGGGCGCCATCAGCTCCCTTACGGCGAACTGAAACCATTGCCGATTCCTCGGGCACCGGGTCTCTCCATTGCTATGGATGTGACCGGTCCTTTCCCTCGCGATCGCCTTGGTCATGATGGTATTCTCACGGTCGTTGATCGTTTGAGAAAGTACACTCGATTTCTTCCATGCAAGTATCATGCGACGGCTCCCGAGCTCGCACGACTTTTGCATACCGGCTGGTTTTGCGGCCACGACGTTCCGGAAGACATCGTCAGCGACCGCGACACTCGTTTCATGTCGGCCTTTTGGACAACACTCATGGTGGAATTCGGCACCAGCATGAAACCAAGTTCCGCACGGCATCCTCAAACGGATGGGCAAACAGAACATGCGCACCAGACTGCGCAGATGATGCTCCGCACGCTCATCCGCCCGGATCAGAAGGACTGGGTTGACCGCCTTCCCGACATCGAGTTCGCCTACAACACTTCGGTGCACCTGGTGATTGGCACGACTCCATTCGAGTTGCACCATGGTGGACGGAAAGGACGTATCTTCGCAGACATTTTGCTTCCACGGGCTGCCGAAATAGACACCGCTTGCTCCCCCGCTTCTACACGGAAGTACAGGGAACTGCTGGCCAAAGCCCGCGCAAACATGTAAAAGGCTTAGGTCCGTATGCAGCACCAAGCGAACCGGCGTCGCATCCCATGTCCAATTCGTGCTGGCGACCTAGTTTGGGTCGCCTCCGAGGAATTCGCGCTTGAGCAAGACGTCTCGCGCAAGCTCCTCCCAAATTGGTTTGGACCATGGATGGTCACTTCAGCAGCTGGCGACGACCCCGCGGGTCCATCATTCATCATTGAGATTCCCCCGCATTTGACGGTCCACCCGATCTTTCACGCTTCAAAGCTGGCGGTTTACACTCCAGCCTCCGCAGCGGACTTCCCGGGCAGACGGTCACAGGACCCTCCTTCAATGGATGGTCATCAGGAGGTCGACCGCGTTCTCACGCATCGCAAGCATGGCAACAAGCCGATGCAGTACAAAGTTACATTCAAGCAATGCGATCCGAACGACACACGCTGGATTTCAAGAGCTGATATGAAGGCGACAACACCCCTCATCTTCGCGCATTACGAAAAACAGCAACTTGCTAAGGAAGCTGCCCAACCTGCCCGCCCTGTACGGACATCGGACAGACAGCTTTGCCCTCGCAGTTAGCTCGGTCTTTCAAGGGGGGGAGTGTGTGGCATACTGAGCCACACGGGCCCCAGTTAGGGCCCGGTTCCCAGTAGGCAGCGTAGGCCTAGGGGGACGACGGTTCAGACCAGGCCCAGATAGGCCTGAGGCAGGGCACGTCTAGGCCCAAACGGCCAGAGGCCGGTACTGGTCCAGCCCAGGACCAACCGGCGGCGTTTCAGAGGCTGCCACATTTTGGTTCCAAACCCAGTTTGAATCTGGACCGTCGATTCAGATCAACGGTCCAGGCCGGTAGGTACCAGTAGGCAAGAGGCCGGCCCAGCACTACAAAAGGCTGGGTACCAGCCTCAGTCCGGTAGGTTAGTATGGACGAGGTTAGTCTTCAGGATTAGTGCAGCAGCCAGCGTTAGCTCGATTAGCGCAGCGCTGCAGCAGCGAGGAGCAGCAAGACAGCGAGGTTCAGCGGAGAGCGGACTAGCGCAGCACTGGGCGCCTCGCCAGTTACCGGCCCAGCCTTCCCTTTGCAGCGCCATAGCCAGGTACCAGGGAGGAAGGCTTCGCCTTCTCTCCCTCCTCTCCTCTNTCTCTCTCTCTCTCTCTCTCTCTCTCTCTCTCTCTCTCTCTCTCTCTCTCTCTCTCTCTCTCTCTCTCTCTCTCTTCCTACCTTCTCCTCCTACCTTCTCAGTCTAAGTCTACTTCTACTTTTCCTACAGGACTACTACAGTATGGGAGATGGTTACGGGTTCTGATGACATCTGGGACAGCAACATTGGGGACTACGAGTTGAGGACTATCTGGGGATCTGATTTCATCTTCCTTCCGGAGATGTACTTGACATTGTGAGATCGATATCTGAGACATTGTGAGACTTGGCATTCGCAACATTTCGGATTTTCGTCATTTCTGACATTTCAAGATACTATCTTTGGAGACATTGAGTTGACGTCATCTTCCCCTCTCCTCCTCCTTTTGTCTCTCCCTCTCTCCCTTCGTCTGTGGATGATCTCAGTCCCTGGCCTTTCATCTATGTCTGAGGCCAGGGCATTCACACCCCTGATGAATGTTTGAGAGTGTTCGATTGCAGTCCGAGTCAGGTCTGAGTCAGTCCAAGGTATCTCAAGTCTTCCGCTTGCATTTGTATTAATTCTGTATTATCTGGTCGGTTCTGGGAATCTGCGCCATACTTATGACTGTGTTTCACGAGTATGCAACATGCACACACCTTGGGGCTGGGACCAGAGGCCAACAAGACCACCGTCAAAACAGTATAAATAAAGAGGCAGCGCTCAGCCATTCATTCATTCGCCTGTGAGCCATGCGGAAGCGCTGCTAGTGGGACTTGTGCAAGGAGGTCTGCAGGTGCCCAAAGACAAAGTGGGCAGAGGAGGACGACGGCGGCCATAGCTACCTAGAGGAGGAAGACGACGGCGGCCATAGCCGCCAAGCTGCTGACATCGACAGAGTGTGTAGAACAGAAGTGTGCGTGCGCGTGGGACATTCAGGGTAGATCCTAGTTCGTGCGTGCACGAGTGTGAGCGTGTCTGATGGTGGATACAGTGTGCGGGTGGGACTTCAGACAGGCGATTAGAAGCCATAGCTGCAAGCTGTAACAAGTTGACTTATACTGAGTTCTGGCCAGAGGCTATATATCTGAGTTTTCTGTGTGGGCGCTGTGCGCCATATCACTCTGGTTGCTGATTCTGCGTTGTGAAAGTTCTTCTACCATCGACATGTGTATGTACTATGTATCTAGGCTGCACTCCGGGCCGCCCGGCGCCGGCTCGTCGCCCGGGCGGGGGGCCGGGCCGCCTGGCCGGTCGTCCCGCCCGGTTGGCCACCGGGCGACCCCAGCGCATCA